ATATGCTGGGTAACAAACAAAATTGTTCAAATCGTGTAACACCAAAATTGTCCACTTGTAAGATTTGAACAGTTGTATCTCGAAAATCAATGACCTCTATATATATATATATATATATATATATATATATATATATATATACACGTTTCATTAAATAATATGGACAAGTGTTGTCTATTTTATGTAAAATTTTTTCGTATCTTCTGTCGTCCGTATATTGTTTGATATGTTTGTAATTATATCTTTGATAATGGCTTGAGTATGCCGAAAGCTTAGATTTTATTAAAAAAATAATGGATAAATATTGTGAATTTTTTTTTCGGTTAATGATAATGTTATCAAACTTATCAGAAGATACGAAAAATTTTACATAAAATAAATAGACAACACTTGTCTATATTATTTAATGAAACGTGTATAAATGAAAAATATGCTAAATAAATATATATATATATATATATATATATATATATATATATATATATATATATATTTGTTTGAATAAAAGACAGACCACGTTAAGATTCCATGTAATAAGTTATTTCACCATAACCCTTTAACAGGGTTCTGGATCATCAGACTTTACTTCCAAAAGCTGAAATGAAAATGAAAAGAAATTCACACGTTTTTGACGGACCTCATCAAGTATACGTAAATTTAACGAAGTGAGGAAGTGATGTGGGAGAGAGGATATGAGAGTGTCATATGTATCATTTTAGTTTCCTATTTTAACCCCACTGTGTCGGCTAGATGTTGCTCAAATTTAACGCGTCTCGTCTTTAGATATAGATGGCTAAGGGGTGAATGATAAGAGCGACATTAAAGGAAGAAGTTACAACAATCCCAATAAATTACACGACAGGTTTCATTCAAATTCTTAGGCGCTGTCAGTTCATGTGCATATTTGGGAGGTTAAGGTTTGATAAATATCTAAATGTTAAAACAATCTACGAAGACATTAATTTGAAATTCGGTGGAGTTTTGGGTATTTTCTATGAAACAGTCGATTGGAAGAATCCATAGACAGAACATTGAAAGAGCAATCCATTTTATATTTAGTAATTTTTTTTTTTTTCCTAAAACTTTTATCTTATAGCTTGTTAGGTTGACATCTATTCGTTTGATTTTTGTTCATTAAGTAAACTCGTGATTGTTTTTGATTTTTGTTCATTAAGTAAACTCGTGATTGCTTTTTATGTACCCAATTATCAACAGTTATTCCCATTTAAATAATTTTATTCTCCACACTGGGGTAGTAACTTTCAATCTCAATTAATATACCAATCTAAATTTTCCCTTCGTGCTACTTAAAATTCACTTCCAATTGGAGAATATTAGAGGAGATATTTGGAAGAGATGTCACTAGCAGAAAATTAGGTCCTTCTTTACAATTTTTTATCTACACATGTCTCAAACCCCTATTTGTAACCACATACCTATATCTTCTTATATGCCGATGAGTTCCTATATACACATACACACACATTCACACGAAACGACCATATGTATATTTCCATCTTTACACATATACACCTGCAGAGAAAACGCACATCCACATGTCTCCATACCTATCTCCATATATACTTATACTTACATATATACATATACACACAAGGACATCTGCATACCTATATATATTCATACGCACATATACATATTTACACACCTATATGTATACATATATACACATGCATGCATACACACATATATGCATACATACATACACACATACATATACATACACACATACATTCATATGCATACCCAATATGCAGCATATCTACATATCCACATATGCGTTAATTTGCACTTACATATATCTACACACGTATTTGTCCCTATCCTCATGTCCACCCGTGCATCCACTTATGCCTGCGTTCGAAGACTATCTTAGTATTTAATTACATTATCTATATCTTTACACATATAATATTACCCGATCTTTCATATTTATGGCAAAACATATAAGTACCTATCTAATTGTACATCTCCACACTCACAAAAAAAAACCCTGGTATGCTTCTTTTTCCGTATAAAACCATATACATGTACATATCAACAGGTGTCTCAGTGTGCAAATACATTATCATAGTTGTATACATATGTGTTAGCGTTCACGTGTGCATAGTAATATTTCTAAAAACAAAGGGAATATAAAACGTTCAAAGTTGCTGTTCCTATATGATTATTTCTTAATGTACTTGCTTAGGTTTAGGTTGTTTTTCTGCCGGCATTTAAACACTAGTTCATTGTGTATATATATATATATATATATATATATATATATATATATATATATATATATATATATATGTATATATATATGTAAGTATATATATATATGTGTGTGTGTGTGTTTTCAAAATTGTCATATATATTTAAAATACATACATATATATATATATCTATATCTATATATAATGAGTGAGAGGGAGATCCATAGACTGATAGAGAAAATATATATATATATATATATATATATATATATATATATATATATATATATATATATATATATTATATATATATATATATATATATATATTCACTATTTTAACTAAACTTTTCATATAAATGATCTTCAATCTGTTGCCCACTTTTATGTAGTTGGTAGTCAAAAACATAAGATTATATAAAATTTTTATCTTTCTTATGGAGAAATTTCTAAAATCTCGCTGAATATTAGTGAATACTTATGAGAAGGCTACATTTGATGTAAACAAATTAAGATGGAGTGTCAGTAGATTTAATAATACTTCTCGAGTAAAAGGAACAAACTTAACTCACTGACCAATATCCTTATCTCTATGTTAGCGAGTCGGTGATCCAGCTTCCTTCAAGTCTATGATGTATCCACTATTTTACATTTATTTTCTGATTAGAAATTCATTCGGAGATTGCGAAATGCAAGTATCGTCGCCTGGAGATATCCCCGATCGATACATACTGATCGAATTATAAAAGTTGGGAGTATTGGTCTGCTAATTCTGCAACAAATATATTTTATGAGGTTTTCATGTAAGCAAAACGAAATCGAATCCATAGGATAATTTTCTATCTTCTTTTTTCATGTCATGTCTCTTCGGCGTACAGTCAATCATGGCTCTCCACAATATTATTTCATTATAATCTGCAAATTGTCATGACCTTGGCAATATAGTTAATTTGTTTTACCGCCTTTCGGTCTACGAAAGAAAATGGAAGCAGTATTGATTGGGGGTTTCCATGATTGATATAGTTGTCAGCAAGTGGAACAGTCTAAGATGCGACCTTCGGATTGGGGATACCAAAATCAAGCAAGTACAGAAATTTAAATATCTGGGGTGTCCTTTCAAAGAGGACGGAAAATGTAACACCGAAATCTAAGCTGCATTGGAATAGCGAAAGATGCATTTCAAAAGTTAAACAAAATATACAAAAATAGAAAATATCGTTAGAAACGATGTGTTCTAAAACCCTTATGTCATGTTAGCTTTCATATGTGGCAGTGAATGCTGAACATTTTGCTCACAGATGTAGAGCAAACATTTATTCTACAGAAGGGTACTGAGGATATAATGTGCTGAAAATCTGTGCCACGACGAGGGAGTTTTAACGATAATAGAAACAAAAAGGATGCTTATGCTTATAATCAGAAACAGACAAAAGAAATTTCTAGGACATGAGGAAAGAGGGTTTAGAAAATTTTGCACTCACCTGACGGTAAATCGGACAGAAGGACACAGCAGCTCACAGGACTAACAAGCGTGCTTAAATTGATGGCAGATCAAGAACTGGGCGATATGGTGAAAAAACAAATATTACTTCGAACTATTAGAAGTTGTGGAGAGCCATGATCGCCCACATCCTAAAGTGACAGATAAGGGTGTTCCAATAACTTGAACCGATTTTAAATGTGAATTAAGTTTAAGCGCCTAATGATTTTCTTCTTTTTCTTTCACATTTAACAACTTGAGTCTTTGACAATTTCTACCATGGAAAAATTAACAAACAACGTGTTAAAGTTATCGAAGCGTATTACAAAAATGGACGTTCAAATAGAAACTGAATGAGAAGTCCTCAGGTCGCATCATCTCTCGAAACTGTGAAGTCAATTGGCTACCACGATCGTGCGACTTGACGCCTTTAGACTTCTTCCTTTGGGGTCATCTCAAAAGGAAGGTCAATGCTAACAAGCCAATAACAATTCAACATCTGAAGGATGAGATAATAAGTCATATTAGTGAGATCGAGGAGAAAATATGCAGAGACGTTATAAAAAAAATTAGAAGACATTTGTATTGATGTTGATTTATTGGAGGTTTATTTTAGTTCCGGTTTTCTCGTTTACATTATAAAATACTTGATAACAATTTACTAAGCGTAGCTTAGATGTGGCACAACGCCGACAGTACGGAGCATCATGTGAGGACCAAACTCAATCTTCACCACGTCGAAGTGCCTATATTATTTTTTATAATTAATCTTACTTTTATTATTTGTTTTCTTCTAACATTAAGAATCTTCGGGTTTCTTTTTGTTCCATTTCTTTTACAGCTTTATTTTGTCTCAGTCCTATTTCTTAACAACGCCATATTTTCCTTTTTCTTCTCTTTAAAAATCTTCTCACGCTAAGACCTTACTACTATATCATTTTATTCTACTTTCTTCTATTTCTTATGTCATTGCCAGCCGTGGGGTACATTCCTGTTAGTAGCAATACTTTTGTTTATCTATGCTTTAACACTAGTTGTAATGTGTTTGTCCTCTAATGCTTCTGTGTGGTTTTTTGTTACTGTATTAGTATTATTTGCAGTAGTAATGCATGTGTCTCACAGTAACCGTCGTGATGACGGTGGTATTTCATAAACCGAGCATTAGCATTCACAAATGGAATAACGGACGTCCGGTTTCCTCGAGGCTGAGGAAACGTCACTTCCTGTTAGCAGTGTGTTCAACGCATGTTTTTCTTTGTGTGTGTTGCTTGGCACATGTCGCCTGAGATAAGAAATTGCACAAGAATGGAATGGTTTCTCAATTTCTTTTTTCTTCTATTCTCTTTCGGTTTTTTTCTTCAGTTTTTCATCTTAATAGATTTCTTTTTCCTATTCTATATTTTCTTTTTTCCTTATTTTTCATATTATTCATGCTTTCTTTCATTTCTCTCTCCTATTTTTCTATGTTTTTCATTACTTTCTTTATTCCCTATATTTTTCATTCACTTTACATGTTACTCTGTCTCCATTTCCTTCTTTTTCATTATTTATATCATCTGCAAGCTTTTCCTCTTAATTTCTTTTTTCTTCCTCATTATATAATGCCTTTTTATTTACTATAACATATTGCATTTATTTCATTGATTTATTTCATCGATTTATTTTTCTTCATCATTACTGTTTTCTCTGTAACTTCTTACTCTCTTTCCTTTTGTTTTCTTTTATTAGTTTTCTTGTGTTTTCTTTTCTTTTTATTTATCTGTTGTTGTTCTATTTTCTTTTTCTTTTCTTTCTTTTGTCTTTTTCCGTTTCATTTCTTATTTCTTCTTACTTTTTTCTTTCCTTCTTATTATTTTATTCTCCTTTTTTTTCTTCGCACTCTTTTTTCTTTTCTGTTTCCTTATAATTTTTTCTTTTCTCTCTCGTAATCGATCTGCTTCTTTTTGGCCTTTTAATTCTATTGTTCTTCGATTTCTGCTGTTTTCAATTGTTTCTACCTTTTCTTTGTTTTTCTTTCTTTTTTCTTTTTTTGGTTTGCCTTTTGGTTTCAATATGGCGTCATTCAATGGTGTGAGTCAGGACCTGACGGAAGCTTGAGAATGTGGACGGCGAACGATGTATCGCTTCAGTAGCAATGTCAACCCAGGTTAACGTTGCTTCGCTTGTTAAAACGGACCTTGAATGCAGTTAACTTCTTTATCGCTTGCTTTCTACATCGCCATTCCTTTTTTACTTGTTTAAACAGACATTTGCCCCCATTGTGATTCGAAAGAAGTTTTTCCTATCTGGAAAGGAAACTGTGTGCTAACAAGTCTCGCAAATGGCCACAACACCTCAAGGGGATGAATAGATGGATCGTTTTAAAGTCAAGAATAAATTGCTTTCTTTTTCCTTGCATTTTCTGGCTTGCTCCAAGCATTTGCGAAACAGGAGGAAAAGAAGATGGAAGCAATCACTTAGTATATTCGTAAAAGGAGGCATGCGAAAAAATAAGGTTGCTGAGATGTCCTTTGGTTTTCTGTTTTGGAACAGAAAGATAAATGGTCAAGTTCTTAGGAGGATGATACTAAGTTTATCGGTTCAAACTGAAGTTCGTGGAAGTCTAGATTGGTGGGGTTGTTAATTAAATCACTTAAATTCAGTCTACTGTACTCATCTTTGTTGCTGTTATCACAATGTTTAGGCCGTTATGTTCTCCGAGTTTCTTTACTTGACTGTCGATCCTAGTAAACTTCAGGGAATTTCGAACGGAATCCATTATTTAATCTAGGAAGATCATTTCCTTCTACTGTCTATGTTTAAGAATATCTCGTATTGTTTTTTTTTTATTTATTTCAAATAAAGCCTTATCGTCTGCCTGCTGCAGATGCCGCTGCTGCGACTGCTGTTACGCTTGATCTTATCAACAAAAATGAAAATATTAGTCAAAACAAAATCAATATATGCTGAAATAAAAACACACTCTTAATAAATGTTTCTCCTACTAAACATTCTGAAGTGATTTTAATATAATGAATCCTGTAACAGTGGTTTAGCTTTGAGGAAGTATTTAATTCGAAATAAATCAAAAAATAAAAAAAATTTCCTACCATTTTAATAACTGTAAATACATCCGAGGCCATAAAACGGACGGACACGTGTACACTATATATATATATTATATATATATATATATATATATATATATATATATATATATATATGTGTGTGTGTGTGTGTGTGTGTGTGTGTGTGTGTGTGTGTGTGTGTGTGTATTCCAACAGTAAGCCCTCTGATTAAGAGGTTTTGAGGAGCGTTGAAACACCTCTTAATTGCTGGTGTTCCCTGATCCGAGATGGTAGCACCCACCTGTTAGGCTCCCAGCTATAGGTAAATAGTTAGCACCCAAACAGGGGGTCAAAACACTATGAAAGTGTAAAAATAGGTTTTAATACCAGAAATACTTTTGTAAAAAAATTATTACTAGCAATACATTTTTGAAAAAAAAATATTAGCAGCAATAAAAATCTTGTCGGCATTAAAAATCCCATTGAGGTTGATAAAAACAAAAAAAAGCAACCAAAGCAAAAACAAAACTGGGTATGTCCACTAAGCAAACCAAATTGAAAAATGAATTTTTTACAATGAAAAACATTCTTGAAGATTTAACTTTAATTGTTTAATAACTAAATTTACGATTTATTAATTAAGGTTTAGAAACATATACATTTGATTGTCAAATTTAATTTCAAATTTTAAATTTTCTTTAAAACGGCCATTTTCTTAATTTTAAGAAATTTGTAAACAAACACAAATTTATCGATTTTTAAAATATTTAAAAAAATTCTGACACGTTATTTTAGTAAGTTCGAGCCAAATGTCGCTGCAATTATTAACGAGCGGTCCCGTTCATCTGTTCGATCAACAGTCATAAATGACATAATTTTTTGTATAACACAATACAAAAGAGTAAAATAGTAAATGAAAAAAAAAATAATTTAAAATTTAAAAAAACTTTTATAAGTTGATCGGAAAAATACAATCTGTTAATAAACGAAATGTTTGAAAAAGCCACGTAAAGGGACAATTAGATCACGTGACCTTGTTATAATAATAGCAATTTCTGTATATCATACATGAAATAAGGAATGTATTAAGTAAAAAAAAAATACAACACTTCAACTAAATTTATTAAACTTAGCAAATTTGGATTCGTAAATTTTTTCTACTTAATTACTACATAATAATGAACAGAGCTTTACGCGATGTTAAACTATTATAAATTATTATAATTAAAACTTCTTAAAACGAAAAATTCTTGTAAAATTAATTATTCATCAGAAAAAATTTCTTCAGACAATAATTTCCTTAATATTACTTATTTACAAAAGCAATTAAAAGCTTTTCTGATTTAATTGATAGTTCTTGGATTCATTATTTTTCAATTCAGACAAGATTTTCAGTTAAGTAGCTCAAATTTGTGAAAAAGGTTATTTACCATCTCCAAAGATTCCTTCTTTTAACAAAAAATAAAATTGAGGAAAAGGTTTTTGCGAAATTTCATGAAATTAACTATTTTCAAAATTATTTGAAAAATAATTTCATTCACGTGAATAAGTCCTGAAAATTTCATTAAGAAAAATTTCCAAATCAATATAATAAAAAAACGCAAAAAAAACTATGTTATTTAAATGACGTAAACAAAGACGACTTTAAACCAAAATTTGTAAAAATTTAACATAAGCATTTTGACGATAATCTTTTATTTTCTTTAAGTTTGTGGCATTTTTCATTTTGAAAACAGTGGACATACTTATTGATCGCTGAATTCGCCAAATGTCGCTGAGTCAGCTGTATAACAGCATACAAAGTTCTTATAAGTTATTTTTGTGCAGAGGAATTTGAACTTGCAAACTATTGTAATTCGAACGTGAAAATGAATAAATTGAAAGTTTCCGCAAAATATTTATTGACAACTGATCTGAGGCTTTGTCAGAATCTAAAGAGTGCTATTTTGAAAAAATTTTCAATCGTACAGTGTCTGTAGGTTTTTTATGACGAACGTGAAAAAAACAGAGTTTAAATTAACGCCTATTACTATTTTTTTAATCTGTTGGAACGAAACAGATAAATTTGCTGTCTTTTTATCTGACAGGAAAACGTGCCCGGAATATAAATCTTAATTTGGAGATATTTTTAAAAAAATATTTGTAATCCTCTTTAAGTTACAATCTTAATTCTCTGCACATAAGTATTTTTTTCAAGTGTGAAATTACCTTTAAATTCAATGCAGGCAAATATTGCGTATTGGCAAAGAGACAGGATAATCGTAAAAATATACCATCACATGTATAAGCTCCATGTAAATATTTCCAGTGACTTTTTGCACAGGTTTTGCGAGCAACATCATAGGCATTTATTGTTTTAGTTATTTATTGTTTGTGCGTCCGTAACCGTACGTAGAATTGCGAGTATAAATAAAATAATCTTATTTTGTTGTAGGGAAATTTATGACTAAATAAAATGTGTACATTAGGTGGTGTTTAATGTTAAATCTGGAAAACTGCACAGCAGATGATAGGCAATGAACCAGTAAAATATATGGGAAATTAGTTGTAGGTGCTTTCTAAATGGCTAAGTAAAAAAGGAGAGAGATTTTGATATTAATATAAAGAATCCAATAGGAAAAGACCAAACATGTCAAGTGATGGACTGAAGAACATTCTGAAGGAAAACAACGACGAAAAAAGAGGGAAAGTTGGAGACATATTAAAAGAGGGCCAATTGGATATTCGGCAGCATTATCTATCTATCTATCTATCTATCTATCTATCTATCTATCTATCTATCTATTTATTACAGCCTGTTCATATATATCTGTACATATGGTAATGTGTGTATAAAATGCCTTGTTGTATTCTCTCTCTCAGATGTATATACATACATATATATGTGTGTGTGTGTTTGTGCATGTGTGTGTTTGTGTGTGTGAGGCTTTATTAATATGTGTGCAGCAGAAAATAGTTATTAGTGAAATTTTATTTGAAATTTTCAATGGTTAATATTTTATAATATTGATTAATAGAATATATTCAGTTGATTGTCCATACGTCTGACATCGTTGCTCCATGACACCCGACTGTAATTACTCAGCGCAGTTAATTAACTATCATCCCATGCGAAAGCTTCAATTCACGTATAAGCGCCTCGCTGTTGTTTTTACCAAGTAATTTAAAAATTGCCTCTTACTTTCTGATTTATCCTCGTATATGTGTGTGGTCTGATAAAAAGAAATAAAGATTATGGAGAACAGAGGATACGATAGTGTTCATGGGTGTCGCACAGGAATAACTTCATACATTTGATACACTTACTATACATTTACCAATATCATAATATGATAATATTGTAACTTTTTCAGCCAGCTTAAGAAGTAGTTCAATCTACTGATGTTATCTATCTATCAATCTATCTATCTATCTATATATATATATATATATATATATATATATATATATATATGTCACACATTATGAAATGGACAAAGTCCGACAATTATTTTAAGACATTTTTTATGTTTATACATTCTTTTTATAGATACAAATATTTAAGTAAATGCTCTGTTTATAATAAACAGTATTGAACAACATTTACCGGCCTGAATGTCCGGGAAATTTTCGCAGAACGCTCTGTGGCCAAATCGGTTAAAGGCACGTCAAGCTCAATAACGGTTCTGTATAGGATGCAGGTTCGAATCCTATCGGAGGACGAATATTTTCTGCGGTATCTTATTTCTTAATCAGTTTTCTTTTTTGACAGTTTAATTTCCGTATCTTGGTGTCTGAAGGTGTAAAGGAAATGTCCACAATCCGTGTTCGTTCCTATTAAGGTTTCAAGACTGCAACTGGTTTTCGTCATTTTCAGACATTTTTTTTATTTTATTGAAGTTTAAATAGCTATCGAGTTGTAACCCATAAATACCTAAATGTTTACAAAATTAAAAAAAAAAATCTTGCATTAGGAGTCTCCAATACATTTATAATCAAAACCTTTTTGTTATAATAATGTTGTTTACAAACCCAGGGCTCTCTTGAAGCGAATTTCATAGAAACACATATGGAATATACAGTAAAAAAACAAAAAAAAAAACCTCTCGTAGATGTACGAGATATTATTCTGACTAATCTGTTATACAAAAATACATGTCAGAGAAACAATAATGGTATTCCTATGACATATCACGTTGAAACACAGATTCTCAAACAATCCTCGAAGTTAAGCAACGTCGAGCCTGGTCAGTAACTTCATGTGTAATCGCTTCGTAATAACAGATGCTGCAAGCGAGGATGCAGCAGCTGTAATGGATAACGGCTTGGAATTGAAAGTCGGAGAGCCTAGTTCCAATTCCAGTCTGGTTCGTTATATTCACTTACGTACAAATACCGTTAGGAAAGGTAAGAATCCACCTCTTCTTCCTCCAGCTATGGGTTAATTAATCAGACTTCTATCAGTAAATAATTATTATCTAAAAAATATCATAATCTAAAAGGATTTTCTGGCATTCATTAACCTGAAAAGGTTTGATAAGCCATAAACAAATCAATCAATCAGTCCCATATAACTGCTCCATATGAATAACCCATGCTGTGTCTGTTCAGGAGTTTGGCAATCAATGTTCTCCACAGCTTCCTGTCTTTTACTAAATCTTAACCCTTTTGTCAACTCCGTCATCCATTTACTCGTCAGAGTGTAAACTGCTTACGATTCTCCCCCCCTTCTCTCTCACACACACACTTTCAATCTGTCCTGTGAGTATTAAATTTTTCAAACCCTCTTTCCTCATTATGTGCCTCACAGACGTCAACTATATCTTACAGATGTTATCTCCGTAACCCTTTTATGGTCATTGTCTCAAGAACTTCGTCGTTGCTCAAATGTTTGGTCTATGGTATTCTCAGCATGTTTCTGTAGAACAACATTGCTGTTATTCCAAGTTTCATCTTCATCTCTGAGGAGAGTGTTCAGCATTCACTGCCATATAAGAGAACTGATGCTACATAACAGTTCGGTACTCTTCTTTCTTTCTAACGATATATTTTCTGTTTCTTAATACTTTGCTCAGCTTCTAGAAGACATCTTTTGCTATCTGAATGATCCTTTGGATTTCCTGTCGTACTTTCCGTCCGCTGTTTATATACCTACATCGTTGTACCTGCTTAAATTCGGCATCTCTTAACTTCAATCTCCATGTTGGGCTGTTCCTTTTGCTAACGAACGTGCATTCAGTCGTTTTGCAATTTTTATTAAGACTTCTAAAAGGAATTTTAGACGTTATCCAGATTAAATGACAACAACTAGAAATTAAACAAATATATACTACATTCTGAAACGTATTTAGATTCTCAAAAGATGTCACCCTTGCTCAGCAACACGCAATATTAACAATCCAAAATAACTTCACATTTACTGAACATAACAAACATTCAAAACTTAAAATTCAAAATCTTCAGAAGGGTTTAAGCTTTCATTAATCGATCTTTAAATGTCATTTAATATTTGTTTTTTTTCTCGATAATCACTGAAGCCAGTCGCAAACGCAAAGCCTTAACAAGAAGGTATATGAACTGTGAACAGTTTGTATATATGTTTCATGTAAAAATAAGGAAATTAATCAAAACAAAAACAGAATTGATTAGAAATATATAATAGATATGACTTTTCTGCTATCTTCAAAAAAACTTCTCATACATGTATGTGTGGGCGTGGGTGTATTCGAATGTGTATGCGTGGGGTGCTGGAAAATTCTCGGCTGCGAAAAGAAGAGATTAGAAACATTGTTTTTCATCATTTTCTCAGATTTTGGGAATTGGATTGGCTGAGTAATATTCAGCACTCTTTCCCTTTCACTCTCACTCTCTCTATTTACACACACACACACACACACACACACACACACACACACACATATATATATATATATACAGACACAAACAGAGAGAGAGAGAGAGAGAGAGAGATGTTGAAAAAAGAGTTAGAGAGAGATACAGATAGAATAACCATGTTATTTATTTGCTTAATGTTCAATTTCTTAATATGGAACAGTTTATTTACAAAAGCTGCTTAAATGTATACGCCCCCCCACTTTTTATGCAAGTTTCTTTGACGTCAATTGACGGGGGCACTGCGTTTAAGCTTTTTATTAAATTATCCTTTTATTCGTACAATTGATTTCTTTTATTTTTCTTGACATAGTGTAAAAACATTTTTAGCCGTTATCAAGGATGATTTTATGTTTATCTGAATATGTAGATTTTTTTATCTGTATATATAGAGATGAGAATGTCACAGTCAACACGTTGTGGACGTGTTCATATTTGATATCATTGAGTTAACTTGTTCATTTTCATTTTTAACGTTTCCATTATTTTTATCTGACACACATACCTTTAAAAACGTTAAAATAATTAAATATAATAATATATGGAATATAATATTAGTAACACACAAACACACACACACACATACATACATACATATATATATATATATATATATATATATATATATATATATATATACTCAATTAACTTAAAAAAACACGTTTTGGACGATGGCTAACTCATTAGCAGAAAGCGCTTGGATCTACAGATTTTAAACACTTTGTCCAGAAAAGAAATCTCTTTTCAGTTATGTTCAATAATTACATGAATCATTCATACAAAAAACAAATATAAAGGTTAATGATTTAAATGGCGAGAATACATCTTCGCAAACAATTTCAATAAGGTACACTAACCCCGAACCTGTATATAAATGATATGATCCCTGTTTATAAATTCCAGTTTCATAAGGTCTTTTTGAGTTTTTACAAGCTTTCGTCTGTTCCTACAGACATCCTCAGGTATGGAAATAGATTTCTTCTTGTTTTTTACTTCTCGGTAATTATTTATTGCAATTTACCCGAAAGTTTATCGAAGACGTTTGAGTAATATTCCCTTTTAGTTTAGACGTGAAAAACATTTCGCTGAACTATTGAATCCAGTTTCCATAGAGATTTCTCTGTACCAAAGCGCTTTGCGGCTACGGAAAATAGTAAATTCTGTTTCATGAAATGTCAAGTAAATACGACATCTTGCGAAGGACAGACGAACCGAGTTACAAATGTGTTTCTTGTGTCACTCTCGCTGTATGCGACCTTGTATTGTCATGAATGAGAACAACTACTTTCCCAATGGACACGTTGCAGATGCTGGACATATAAATGTGAATGTCATGTTTCTATGACATCTAAGAACTCTCAATCATTTTTGAACAGTGAGGCACATGAGGTATTCATAGGGTAGGCTACACTACCAAACAAAAACTCAACGTATTTTCATTAAATATACCGCAGACATTTTCTCAACAAAAGACTATGTCCATAAAGATCTGCCTAAGAAAACACACACACACACACACACACACACACACACACACACATATATATACATATATATATATATATATACAAATCTATATTATGCAAATATATATATATATATATATATATATATATATACAAATATATAATATGTGTGTGTGTTTGTGTGTGTGTGTGTGTGTGTAAATGAGAGAAAGAACAGATGGAATAAAATTCCACTGTTCGTAGCATTTACTTTTAAAAAATCCTCAATTCAAAGTAGATCAATATATTACTATTATTATTATTGTAATTATTATTATTATTATTATTATTGTAAAAACATGGAAATTTGAAAATAAAATGTTCCCCCTTTTATGAATGTGGGGGGACATAATATCAGACTTGTGGGTATATCTTGATTGTGGAGATGGGTGAATTATTTTTTAATGTCATGATAAACTTGAACATAGACAGGCCATCATTAAC